GAATAAGAATATTTTCTATTTTATTATCATCTTAAGAATCAAGGATTTTTTTCCTTCCATATTGTTACCGCAAAGGACATACTCCATAGATACTAATGTCTGACAAAACATTCCAAAACTTGGTATCTTAAAACCTCAAGAATTTATTTTTCTTACAATTCTGCAATTTAGGCTTACTTGAGCTGCACAGTTCCCTTGTTCTCAGCTGGCTTTCTCCCAAGTTTGCAGTGAACTGTGTTAGTGAGACAGTCTTGTTCAGAGTTGGCTGACTATTGGCTGGGAGAATCTCAGTTCTTCTCTACATGGTGCCTTTTTCTCCAGAAGCTTAGGCTTTTTTCATGGTGGCAATTGAGAACTGAGAGAGAGAGAAGCAAGCAAGCCCTCTTGAAGCTATACTTGGAACTGGGATGTTACTAGGGTTGCATTCTATTTTGGCCAAAAGACAAAAGAAGTTTCTGGAGCACCTGATTTAGAGTAGGGAGACAGATTCATTTTATCTTTGTCTCTATTTCTCTTTGTGTGTGTCTCTGTGTCTCTCTATCTCATACTGGGTGAATGCTATCCCTGTAAATTCTACCACTTCATGTGAGCTACTGTAAAGCCACATTGTAAAGGTGCGGCCGCAGGAATGTATGGAGATTGGGGCTATGTTTGCTATCTAACAAAGTCAGGGCAATGAAAGACTGAAACATGTGCTTGTAATACTATGTTGTTTTCTAATAATTGTGGAGTTTAGTTTTTCCCTTATAAAATATGTCATTCAGCTTTCTTTCATTGTTTTTGCATCTTATGTTCTTTTTCTCCTATGCTGTTCTTTTATCTGTGGTTGCTTATATATCATTATCCCAATCCATGCCAAATATTAATTTTTAAATATACTTGACTCCTTATTGAATTTATTCAGAGCTATCTTCTCTGCTTTACCATGGTGTAATTTTCTCTCAGATGTGAGAGTGTATATGCCACCTTGTTGTTTATGCCTGGTCTGGGACACTTTTATAAAAGGTGAACTGCATGGAAAACCTTGGTTCTTAACATGCGCTGTTTACAAGGTAGTTCCTGTATTTTCCCCTCTGATGAGCTTTTCATGTGGACATTGAAACTCCAGAAGATTCCGTGAACCATTCTCATTCAGTGCCTTTCTACCTGTGTACTATGTTGTTTACTGGGAATTGTATTTAAGTGGAAATATAAAAGAGGTATGCACTAGAGAGGCTGGAATGAATTATACAGCTCTAGTTGTATCATAAACTCATCGTTCTACTATATAAACACTGAGTCTCCTAAACAGGCAGAGAAGGGGAGCAAGCCAAAATGCTTTCTCAGTCACAGAATTATTATTTCCTAGAGCAAAGCAATCATTTGCATGGTTTGTAGCAATTAGAACACTGGGTCCACTATTACCTTGGTTTTAGGCCTGCTGTTAAGGCAAGGCTTTAAGATAGTGAAACTATCTGAGGCTTATCATCAGAGGTTAACTTGGTTTGGGTAGGTGTGCTGTCATCTTTCTCTGTACTTTTGAATGGCTTGCTGTGAAACGGTGGGAGAAGCTGCACTGGGGAAGTCTATTTAGATTCCTTCTTAAGCTGATTTTAAAGTACATTTAATTAGTGGATTTTCCTATTTTTCTTAATCAAAAGATGTAATGAATGCACAGTGAAAACATACCAACAACTAGCTGGGTGCAGTGGCTCACTCCTCTAATTTAGCTACTCGAGTGAGTTTGAAGTGAGTCCGGATAAAACAGTTCGTGAGACTCTTTGTCAACCAGTAGCTGGCTGTAGTGTGTGTTCTTATCGTCCCAACTATGTGAGAGACTGAGATCGGGACTATTGTGGTTCCAGGACAGCATGGACAAAAAATGGTTCAAAAAAATCTCAGAAGAAGCTGGCATTGTGGTACATGCCTGACATCTTAGCCATGGAAGGAAGTATAAAATGTTTAGGTATGTGCCCATGCAAAAGTAAGACCCTATCTCAAAATAACCAGTGCAAAAAGAACTGGAGGTATGAAGTCAGTGGTAGAGCCCTTTCTTAGAAAGTGCAAGGACTTGAGTTTAAAACCCCAGTCCTGGAAAATAACAACAGTAACAACAAGCACACATCAATGTAAATAGCAGTATTCAAAAAGATAACATTGCTGCTTTTGTTAAATTGTGTAATATTGATAAAATTTGAATTAAAGTACCATTCTATGTATAAATTTTGTAGCTTCACATATTTCTTAGTTCTCTATCACCATTTTCAAGGTTTGCTCTTGAGGAATTACAGTATTAGCACACTTTCTTTTTGGTCCTCTCCTGGGCCTCTGTAATGTAGTTGAGGGACACATGCAGGCTTTTGGAGCAGCTGTCAGGGCTAATTGTGGAATCTTTGGAGAAATGATGGTTACTTGTGCATGTACTGTTTTTTTTTCCTTAGTTGTCTTATCTCTGGCAAGATATACTGGTAAAATTACAACCTTAGGGAATCTCTCTCATTTGAATAACTAGGATTTCTACAATATCTACAATTGTAGATGTACAATTTGCTGCTAACTACTTGACTATTATTTCTGTGCCCTCATGATACAATTTACATTTCATTCACCTCTCTCTGTATATGTGTGTAAGTGTGAGTGTGAGTGTGTGTGTGTGTGTGTGTGTGTGTGTGTGTGATGGTACTGGAGTTTGAACTTGAGTCCTCTAAGCAGGCACTTCTGCCCCTGAGCAATGCTTCCACCCTTGATATTTGCAAGTTACTTTTAAGATAGTGTTGTCTGGCACACATGTAAGTATGATCTGCTTATGTTAGGCTTTCTGGTAGCTAGGATAATAGTCACGCACTACCATGTCCAGCTCTTTGTTGAAAAAGGTTCTGGTAAATTTTCTGCCAGGGTTTGTCACAAACCAAGATCCCCAACTTCATTCTTCCAAGTGTATAGGATTACAGGTGTGAGGCACCAGCAGTGTTCACCAGAGAGTGTTCACCATTAAACCATGGTTTGGTTTAAAAAATTTGACTTCTTGACATCTTTTAGCACTGAGATTCATTCATTAGGTTTTATCGAGTAGGTATCTATAACTTGTTCTCCTTGTTAAGAGTTTGACTTAATGCTGATTACTGACAATAATTATTTAATTTTCCTAATGGAGTTTTTTTGTGTATATTTTGTGTATGTTTATGTAAGTTTTCAAATGCCAAGTAAATAAAAGATTCCACTTAGAGTAAATCAGAGTCTTGTCTCCATAACTATGTCAGTGCTCCTATGCTAGGCTCTCAGGGAATATATGCTGTTTATATAGGAGTGTCTACTGTAATAGATGGTGGGAATCTTTTTCTATTTTATGTAAAGTCACTTTTCATGTTCAGTTTTCCATGTGATTTGCTAATTGACTTACAGGAAATAAACAGGTCACAAACAGAGTAGTAATCAGTCCTGCTGAGTTCACATGCTTATTTTCTTCTGTTACCTGCTTGTAATATTTATATTACCTGTTTGTAACTATGCTTTATAGTAATTATTCTAGACTTTCTATTAAAGTAAAATTAAGATTTCCTACAAGGTTGTGCAAAGTGACTTCTAAGAACTCTATGGGATAGTTTGAGAACTGCTAACCTTAATGTTTTGTAAGATATTAGAGGTCAAAGACATCATCATATCATCATCATCATCATCATCATCCGTGTGATCAAATCCCCTTTCAGACACTTTTTCTCCTAATTCTGGGTGTGGAACCCCGAGCTTTGTGCATGAGAGGCAAGCATTTTACCACAGGACTACACCCCAATACCTATTACGGAATTTTGGCATTGTTGGTTTTTTCTAAGGCAGGTTCTCGCTGTGTTATAGCTCAGGCTGCTCTCATACTAGCTATCCTTCCGCCTTAGCCTCATAATGGAGGGTAGAGGCCTACTCAAGTGGCAGAGGGACAACTGTAAGTTAAAAAAAGGTAAGCTAGAGCAAGAGCCCTGAGATCAGCAAGTCCCCAAACTGGCAAAGAGTATGTGTACCACCATTCCTTTTGATTTGGTGTTTGTGCATTGTTGGGTAGCTTCCTGAAAGAAGTGTTCAAGAGTGAGAATAGGCAAGGGATGAAGATGGAATATAATTGCTGTAGACGATAGTTTTGTTTTTATTAGCATTTGATTAAAAGCTCCTAAAACTCTACTATTAGAATCCAAATTAAGGTAGTGAGACCATTTTCTTCCCTTTCTATTCAAGGACTAAATTTTCAATTGTTGGAAAGTTGATTCATGTATTATTGCAAGTAGACTAATAAGAGATACTTGTCATGAGCTTCTGATAATGGGGTTATGGTGGAGCTATTAAGATGACATATCATGGGAAGACTGTCCTTGCTGGGAAGAGGAACACTCAAGATACATGGTTGTGTGTTGTGGGGTGGGGACTAGAGAAGGCGATATGGTATAGACTCAGATGGACTTGGACATTAGGGAGTTTGCATGGGGTTAAACAATAAAGGCAACAGAATTCACAGGAGTGACGAAGTGCAGGTCAGGTATTATGAGAATTCAAAGAAAATCTAGAGAGGTTGGTGCTAGTTGAGTTTTTTACTTTTAAGTAAACACAGCATTCATTACAAGGAACACTTCATATCATAGGGGCAGTATGACATTGCTAAGGACACTGTCCCCCAAATGAGTAATTGCTAAATATCTGAATGAATGACTGGATTTCACTAGACAGGCACAATAGCCACTAAGCTACCTCTTTTTTTGCTTTAGTTATTCAGGTAGTGTCTCCAGTTTTTGCCCAGGACTAGCCTCAGGTTGCAATCCTCCTAACTAAGACCTCCTACAAAGCTGTGATGAAAGGTATCAATCACCATACTGGCTTGTTTATTGAGATGAGGTTGTTACCTTTTTGTCCAGCTGTCCTGAAAACATAGTCTTTCTGATTTTTGCCTGCCAGGTAATTCTCAATTATAACTACTATGTCTGGCCTGTTGCTGAGCTATTTACTTTTGTTAAATTGACGATGTCATTTTTGTTTTTCAGAAACCAAAACTGAAAGATTGGCATCCTCCTGGGGGTTTCATCCTGGGACTGTGGGCCCTCATTATCATGGTTTTCTTCAAAACCTATGGAATCAAGCATATGAAGTTCATTTTTTAGACTCAGTGATATGGGAAGAATGAATGGAAGACTGAAACCTTGGATAAAATAATGTTATTACCTTTTTAAAAAATATATTGCTCCTGTGTAAACTGGGAAAATTAAATTTTAATGAATTATTGACACTGTAACTTAAAGAAAAATAATTATTGTTGCAAGTGCTTATTTGCTACTATGTGTAATTTTTGTTTTGTGTTATAAATACTAGTGTGACAAACGTCAGAATATACTGACTCATTCTTTTTTTAAAAAAGCAACAATTCTCTATTACCTACTTCATTTGGAAAATAAAAATTGTGAAGATATTAAATTCTTGCTGAAAGAGGTAACTTACGAGCCAACACCAGTGGCTCGTGCCTGTAATTCTAGCTACTCAGGAGGCTGAGGATCTGAGCATCTCAGTTTAAAGCCATCCCTGGCAGGAAAGTCGGTGAGATTCTTGTCTTTAATGAACTACTCAGAAAAACAGCTAGAAGTAGACCTCTGGTTCAAGTGGTAAAGTGCTAGCCTTAGATGTTAAAAGCTCAGAGACAGTCCCAGGCCCTGAATACAAGGCCTTGGATCAGGAGGGGAAAAAAAGAAGTAACTTCTGAATTGAAGGGTATTATTAGCAGGGATGGGAAAGAACATGAAAGGGTTGACACTGATCAAGATGTACTGTATTCATAAAGTACTTTTTTGAATAGCAGCTCCTTTGTACAACTACTAAAAGAGAATAAAAACATAATAAAGGAGGTAACTTCTGTTAAGTTGTCTGTATATCCTAACTTTTAAATTTATGAGCATATTTTTTTTCTAAATAGGGATCATATAGAATATGTTGTTTCATAACTTTTTTATGGTGCTATATTATCAACCCTTCTCTGTCTTTGGATATTATTCAAGTATACATGGTAAGCCAGGCATGCAGCATGGAGTTGTACCTTTGTAACCCAGCTGTTCAAAAGACCCCGGGGTGGGAGGGAAGCCTAGGGATCCAAGATCAAATGAGCAACAAAAGAAAAGAAAAGAAGCCAAAGCAAAGAAAACAAAACAAAGGAAAGATGTTGCATTCATTGCATGACAATCTAATATTGCTGGACCATTCCCTTGTTTTTCAAGTTTTCCTTTGTCCCATTCTTTAGTATATTTAAATATATTAAATGTCAAACATTCATGGACTTCTACAGCTTTAATTAAAAGGTGAAAAATTGCTTTCTTACCATGTGATACCAGTATTATGGATCTTATTTGTTGTCAGTTTATTTGGGAAAATTTAGATCTCTGAGAATATCATATAACTGGCCAAAAGAAATACATTGTTTTAGTTTCCATATCCTAGCATTTTGTGATTTTCTAGAATTGGCTAGCCCTCTTCAGTTTCTATCTTGAAAGAGACAGGACTGTATTTCTTTCCTTTGAAGTAACTCTTGTCCACTGGCTGGAGCTACTTTTTTCCTTAAGGATAGCCCATAAAGTAGATGACCTACATGGAAAATACACATTTTTGGTCTTGCCTTGGTCTGACTGATGATTATGTAAGGCAGGAAACCTCACTTCTGATCTTTGATAAGAAATAAGAGCTCAGATTCGGACATGGAGTTTCTTTAGCCTGCCAGTCCTCTTCATTTTTCTCTCATCTCTGGAAACAGTATTGAGATTGTACATGGTACTTTCCCAGATACTTTTTCTTTGCACTTATGCATTTTTTTTATTTTATCCAAGAACTTGGGTTTTCATCTGTCTCATAATAATAGAAACATTAAGAAGACTGCTTGTCTTTTGCAATAAAACCTCCTAAAATTAATATTCTGTAGAATCTTTGTGCCATTTAGTACTTTAAAAATAATACCCGGTAGTTACAAGCAAAACTGTGTTATATCACTTTAGGCAAAGGAATGTCTTAATTGTCTTACTATAGCAAATGGTGTTGAGGTTTTGTATAGACTTGAGTCGTTATTTTAGGTGATCCCCTTCATTGGCATAATATATAAGTAAAGAAGGAAGTGTTTATCTAGTTATATAGAAAAATCATCTTTTTGAATATTGAAAGGAAGGGAAACAAACAAATTTGAGTAACTTGATCAGAGTAGTTCTAAGAGACAGAAGTTGGGCCAGATCACCCTCTAGACCCTGGCTCAAGGTCATGAACATTGTGATGGGGTAAAGCTATTGAGAATGGGAAGGAATTATGATTGTTCTGGAGCCAGAGTAATTTAGTTTCAATATAATGAAAATGCCCTCTTGGTAAAGGCTGCTGGAAAGAGAAAAGATCCTTCTTCAGAGATTGTAGAAGGTGCCCTTCCTAGTTAAAACCATACTGGGAAAAGTAATACTGGATATAATATACAGGATTAATTTTACTAGGCAGACTTTCAAAGGGCAGTTATATTTTTCTTCTCGTTCACTGTTGAATTCTCAGAATATAGTTGAAGCAAAAAGCTTAAAATAATTATAAGCTAGGTAGGTCATAGCCTAACTAATCTTTTTACATGAAGTTTATTCTGTATTCTGTAATCAGTAAATCCTCTTCATGTGTATGTTTAGGAAGTATTGTAAGTGCAATGAAATGGCTCAAACTTAAAATAATCAAAAGCATATAGTAAATACATGTTCCATGAGCCACAAAGAGTGAACAACAGAAAGATGTTCTTTTTGCCTTTTCTTAGTGTAGTGAGAACAGATAAGCTAATGTCATGTGTGAGCATTTTAGGAAATGTGACTCTGGTAATGTTCTTGATGCTACTTGGGAAGATATCAAAAGGGGAATTAATAGTGTCAGTCCCCTCTTCTGTTGCACTTAGGTACCTTTTTTAAATTCCTCAGTGCCAGTCCTGTTCTCTTTGGTGGCCATTTTTTTCTTCCTTCCCCGCAATGTCCTTCAGGGAGAAAGGGACGTAGATAAATGGATCCCAGGAGGCATGTCCTGACATTTCCGCAAGGGCCAGGGTATAATGACACCATCCTGCAAAGGTAGCCTATGTGAGAAAAAGAAACCAACTCATGTAGTTTTTTGAAATTACAAGAGATGTTTATTTGCAGTTTATGAAAATGTAATTCGGGTGCAAAGCTGATTAAATTGGTTCAAAATACTACAATTAAATACAAAAAAATGCAGGCATTTATGTTTTCAATTGTTATCTATTCTTAGCTAGTGGAAAGTGATGGCTCCCACAACAAACATAACTCAGCCTGTTTCTGCTTACTGAGTGTTTCCTATGAAGGGGTATGTTGCTAACATTTCTTCCATTATGTATTTGGTATAGCAGAGTTACAATTGCTGTGGGAATCATCATTTGAAATTTTGACTCATGTGTTTCTAGAATCTTTACAACAAATATTGCATAAACATAGAACCTTTGTTGGTTTATTTATTTATTTAACCAAAATTAAGCCTACCTACAGTAGATACTGTTTTTAACTTATGAACATACCACAAGACAGGACCATAAAATAAGAAGATCTGTATCCATTTGACTTATGGCATCAGCCTCATTACTTCATTATTCCATTTTCAGACCCAAGGGCTCTCATTGCTGTTTTGTGGCTGTCTGCTCTGCCTACGCATGTACCTGCTGCTTAGATAGGAAAGGCCTTTCCGTTTATTCAATGGTGTGCTTTGGTGGTAAGCAGACTTACAAACATTTTACTGTTTTGAAAATGTGCTAGAAAATGCTTGGCTTAGTTTCACTGTGTGGGTGTGTTGATACAATAAAGGTGTAACCAAGAAGTGAATTGATTACTAGGAGTTTGTTTATTCCCACAATGGAAAAGTAGTGTTGTGATTCTACTATCATGGTGATGCTTGGTGTCTGAGACTTGGAAGGTCTTTGGGATTTGCCTGAGGTATGTAAACTCAGTCATAGGGTCAGCCAAGTGGAATTCATCTCCCTTTAGTTTCTTTCTGGCTGAGTGTGCCAATGCCAGCTCTGATAGTGCTTGAGTTTTGGAGATTCCACCAAAACAATTCACTCAGGCCACTGCTGAAAGCACGTCACACAGTGCCTGTCTGGCATACAGGAAAAGCTAGATATCTGGGTTTTTTGTTTGTTTGTTTTGGGTTTTCTTCTCCTGAACAGGGCTCACCTGTCTTGTTTGTAAACTCCACTCTGCCCAGGGCTGGTGGCTTTTCAAAGACCCTTTGCTTCTTAGACACACATTTCCTCAATGGTTTTGATCAACAATTTCTTTCCACATTCTTTTTAACACAATTCAACAATTGGGCTTTCTTACTGAAGTCTATCTTCATTCTCAGACCCCAGGCATCTAGATAATAATCTAGTCCTTCAAGACAATGGAAGACGTTTCCAGAAGACATCTCTTCCTTCCACTGCCTGTTTTAAAACTCTTCCAATAAAAACTCCAAGTAGAACCAATTTAGGTCAAAAGGGGACTTTGATGTAAGAATATTAAGAATCTCATGTAATTGGGTGTTCAGGGAGTCTGGTCTGAGCCTCGTCTGGGACTGTTGTCACTCAGCTGCTTTTTCTTTGCCTACTTCCTTTAAATGGCATGTTACCTGGATTTCTTTCATGACTGGTTACAGATCTTCATATCCATTCCTTGAATTCCTGTTCTGAAAGTGTTGTAGAAGAACATATTAACCTTTTCTGCACTAGAATCTCACCTCGCCTGATCAATACCTCTGAGGGTCCCTTCTAGAGAGCTGAGAGATCACAGGAGCCAAGCAGTCACCCTTACTACTTCCTACTAACTTGCTATTCAGAGGAGGTCAGCTGCTGATCACAGCTATAGCGTCACCCTAGAACTGTCTAGAAATCTTTTTTTTTGGGGGGGGGAAGGGTCCGGTCGTGGGGCCTGAACTCCAGGCCTGGGCGCTGTCCCTCAACTCTTCAGCTCAAGGCTAGCACTCTACAACTTGAGCCACAGTGCCACTTCCAACTTTTTTCTTTTTGCTTATGTGTTGCTGAGGAATCGAACCCAGGGCCTCATGCATGCAAGGCAAGTGCTCTACCACTGAGCCACCTTCCCAGCCCTGTCTAGAAATCTTAAACAGTAGGGCCTTCCTCAGACCCATTAAATCACAATCTGCATTTTAGCAAGAGGACCAGGTAATTTGCAAGCACTTGAAAGAGAAGTTCTGATCTACCTTATCAACAGCTCAACATTGGATCCTACGAAGAGATTATAAAGCATTATAACGCATTACCAACACATAAGATTGCATATTTTTAAAGTTGACTATAGTTTTGTTACTGTCTTCTACTAAGGCCTTTTAAGACCAT